GACAGAAACTTCATTAAAAATATGATCACAGAAACACCATGGGCTGACTGTGCTGGCCTCATTGTTGCAGCTGGTGTTAGTGAAGTTGAGGCCGGTAACTCCCAATGAGCCGACCCCTGAGTATGTCCTTCTGGCTTACACACTGAGTGTGAAGCTGCTCATTCTTGATAAAATGTCTTCTACTGAGCCAGCCAACGGCCAGAAGAGATTTACGGAAATCATTCAGGAAGTCAGCACCTCCATGAAGAAAACTGGCTACAACCCTGACACAGTGTGTAGTAGCATTTGTGCCAATTGCTGGTGGGAATGGTGATAACCTGCTTGGGTCAAGTGCTCACATGCCTAGGCTCAAGACCGTTCTGAAATTACCCTGGTCAATATTACCACTGAAATGCTATCTGTTGAAATGCACCATGAAGCTTTGGGTGAAGCTCTGCCTGGAGACAATGTAGGCTTCAATATCGAGAATATCTCTGTCAGATTCTCCTGGCAGTGTGGCTGGTGACAGCAAAAATGACCCATCCAAGTCAGTCAGGGTGCAGTGTAGCACCAACGAAACATCCAACTTTCTTTCAGTTCCTAACTGCTTCCACCCCCCCACCCCACCCCCACTATCATGATCCCAGTTCTACCTTACAAATCTGGCTAGACCAGAGGATGTACACTGGTACAGATAGGAACTGGAAACAGGGAATCCAGGGCGGATGATCCCTTCAGGACCAGTGGTGAGTGGTGATACTGGGAGGGTGGGGTGGAAAGGGGGAACCGATTACAAGGATCTACCTATAACCTTCTCCCTAGGGGATGGACAACAGAAGAGTGAGTGAAGGGTGACGTTGGACAGTGCAAGATATGACAAAATAATTTGTAAATTATCAAGGGTTCATGAGGGAGGGCAGAGTGGGGAGAGGGGTAAAAATGAGGAGCCAGATGCTTAAGTGGAGGGCAAATGTCTTGAGAATGATGAGGGCAATGAATGCACAAATGTGCTTTATACGATTGATGTATGGATTGTGATGAGTTGTATGAGCCCCTAATAAAATGATTTTTTTAAAATGACCCATCAATGGAAGCAGCTGGCTTTATTGCTCAAGCGATCACCCTAAACCACGCAGGCCAAATCAGTCCTGGAGGCACACCTGTGGATTGGTTCAATGCCCACATTGCTTGAAGTTTGCTGAGAAGATAGAAGGCCATTCTGGCAAGAAGCTGGAAGATGGCTCCAAATTCTCGAAGTCTCGTGATGCTTCCATCGTTGACAGGGCACCTGGCAAGCCCATGTGTGGAGAGCTTCTCCGACTGTGCTCTTCTGTGTCATTTGTTGTTTGAGACATGAGACAAACAGTTGTCGTGGGTGTCATCAAGGCAGTGGACAAAAAGACTGTGGAGTTTCCAAGGATACCAAGTCTGCCCAGAAGATTCATGAGGCTAAATGAATATTACACATCACAGCTGCCACCCCAGCCTTAATCAGGGAAACAATCTCAGCACTGTTGGTACGAGCTGGTCGTTTAATAGTAAGAGACTGGTTAATGATAAAAACGCATCATAACACTTTCAGAAGAAAAGGAATGTGGGCCATATGTTTTACTGTGTGCGTGGCAGTTTTAACTTGATAGTAGTTTTAAAAACCAATACTCTTTAAATGGAAAACTTGACCAAAAATTTGTCGCAGAATTCTGAGACCCATTAAAACCATGGTTCTCAACCTGTGGGTCGCAACCGCTTTGGGGGTCAGATGACCCTTTCACAGGGGTCTCCCTATTCATAACAGTAGCAAAACTACAGTTATGAAGTAGCAACAGAAATAATTTTTATGGTTGGAAGGTCACCAATATGAGGAATTGTATTAAAGGGGCGCAGCATTAGGAAGGTGGAGAACCACTGCTTTAGAACGAAGTTTAATGAGAGAGCAAAAATGAAGTTGGCCTGCGTGAAGAAGACATCAAGATTGAATAACAACCTGGGTGTGCAGATGACACAACCTTGCTCGCCAAAAGTGCCGGGGACATGCAGCACTTATCAATGAAGGTCAAAGACTGAAACTTCCTCAGTATGAATTACTACTCAAGGTAAATAAAACCAAACTGAGACCTTCACAACTGGCACAATGGACAGCGTGCATGATAAATGGAAGAGTTTGAAGTTATCAATCAATAACTTCATTTTGCTTGGATCCACAATCAGTAAATATGAAAGCAGCAATGTACTGCACTGAGTGAATCTGCCTGACCCAAGCCAGGGTGCCAGAAAGCTGGACAATGAAAAGGAATACTTCAGAAGAACTGATGCATGGATTTTCGTGTAAGCCAACTATAGCGACAGTACCCCAGGCCGCGGGAAGAATAAACACCTCTATCTTGGATGAAGCAGGCCCAGAATGCTTCTTCGAAGGTACAAAGGCAAAGCCCAGTTTCATATACGTAGGACACTTTATCAGGAGATAAAGTAGCCAATCGCTGGAAAAAGACATTGTTTTTGGTAAAGCACAGGATCAGTGAAAAAGAAGCAGGTATTCAGAGTTGGAAGGACACAATGGCTACAATAGGTTCAAACATAATTGTTAGGATGGTGGTAGGACTGGTCAATGTAATGAAGTTTGCTATGAGTGAAGCCAATTTGGTGGCACCCAATAACAAAAAGGGATGGTTGGGCACAGACGCGCGCGCACACACACACACCACTGTACAAAGCAAGCATAGTTATCAAGTGTCTATGCAAGAGAGAACAGCTCCTTTAAAGTGTGCTGAACAAAACAGAAGTATTTGATCACTGCAGTTATCTGCCAAGCATCATTTGTGAATGTGGTTTCACTACAACAGGCTGAAACTGTGTTTCTCAGATGGGTGGGGGGGCATGGAGAGCGTGTGTTCAACTCCACGACCTGGGGTTAGTAAGGGCATGCCTTCGTGCAATGAAGGTCCTACTCTCACCTTGGGGGAAAAGATGCTCTCAGCCAGCTTCCCCCTGCCTCCCTCCCCCCCAGGCTCCGGTCCAGATAGTCATTAAACCAATACCACCATTTTGAAGTTTCAAACAGGTTGAGAAGTTGGTGGGTGCCTTGAAGAATGAAACTTTTCTCACTGATCTAGTTTCCACAGTAGGTGGAATGCAGAGCAGCAAAACGGGAGGTATCCGGAGCAGTTTGTATGTCTGTGTGTTTGAACTATAAGCCAACTGAAGACTGAAGGGGAAAAAAAGAGCAAGTGGTCCCATGTGGCTGCGTAGCTGCAAGCATGCAGTCGTGCATGAAAGCATTCTCTCTTGGCAATTATCTCCAAGGGATACAAGAGACCAGTCAGGCCAGGCTTTGCAAATGCTAGCTCATCTGTCATTTCCAGCTGTCCCTTCCCGCCCAGCCCAAGTCCAACTGAGTGTTTGTTCCCAAGCAGCAGGCCTGTCTGTACCTTCATTTCTAGCAGGCAAGCCTCAGTGGGAACAGGGTGGTGATCTAGTACTAAAAGCTTTTGAGCTTTCAGCATCCATATCCTGTTTGCCTAGGAGAGCTAAAGACCTGAACATTTGAACAGTAGGAGAGTTCTCCAGGTGACTCAACCAGATGAAGGACGATGACCTAACCCGCTGCCATTCTGACCCCTAACAGCCCCATGGGGCAGAACAGAACTGCTTCCTTGGGTTTCCCAGAGTGTAAATGCTTACAGGATCAGAAAGCTTCAGCTTTCTCCTGAGGAGCAGCTGATGGGTTTGAACCAGTACCCTGTGGTTAGCAGTCCAGCACTTAATCTAGTATGCCACCAGGCCTCCTCAGGACCGGTGACATGGGAGGTGATAATGTGTCCTAAGATTTGAAGTTGACAGGAAATTCATTAGATCACTACTTTGTAACAGTTGTTTCTCTTAATATCCTGGCTTAGAGCAGAGTCTGAAGTGATCTCTCAGGTGATGGCGTCAAATGTTACTAAGTGGCAGTCATTCCCTATTTAACTCAAATTGATTTCCTGGTTGAACAGAGAGGGGTTTTGAGATTGGGGAATTTCCATTTCTTTTAACAATTGGGGGTGGTAGGAGGGTTGGAAATCTCATTTAACTGTTAATTATGTTTAATAAGTATGTTAAGTGTGTTTATTCTTGTGGTGCTAGGGAGTGTTTTCATACCGTTTCGTCTGTGTTATGTAAGGAAGATTCACGGGGAAGAGAAAGGGCAGAGACCTGGACAATTTAGCCTACACTCCTTGGGAAGCCACGTGGGATTAGCAAGAATGCCCACATTTGGGTGATGCCTTTCTCCTGTCCTCATGCCTGATAGATCCTTGTCTGCCTTTCTGGCAGGAAGAATTCCTTCTTGGGGAGTAAAACAGGTGTGAAGACAAACAAATCAGGAAACAGATGGCTTAAGGTGGTATTAATATAAACTCAAATCCAGAGGGCATGCTGTCAGTGATAGTTCTTACAAATGTCACACCGAATGAGCAGTCAGTCTAAGGTCAGGAGAATTGTCTGGTGGCACAGTGGTTATACAGTTGGCTGCGATTCTCAAGGTGAGCAGTTTGTAACCACCAGAAACTCCTCAAGGGAAAGATGAGGCTTTCTGGCTCCTATAAGCAGTTATTCTAGGAAACTCAGAGGGACAGTTCTACCCTGTCCTATAGGGGTCACTATGGGTCAGCACTGACTCCATGACAAGGACTTTGGTTTCTGGTTTACCTCGACTAATGACTGGAAAAATACTTTGGTCTTAATTATATGGGTGTCATCTCAAGTATAGCTTGACTCCATCAACAGTGCTGGTAGTTGCCCTCAAGTCAATTCCAACTCAGGCTGATCCCGTGTGTGCAGAGTAGAACTGTGCTCCACCCGCCGCTGTACATGGCTGTCTTCGGAGGCATCTCTGGGTGGGTCCAATCTGCCCAGCACTTAGCCATAGCTGTTTGCACCACCCATTAATCTTAAGAAAACATCTCTTCCCATTATCTTTGTCCTGTGGGAGATGACAATTGTCCAGGCACTAGACAAATATTTCAGCAAGACAATGCTTAGAGTGCATTAAATAAATATAAATTTTATTAAAAACACTCACATAGCGTTATCAGGAATGGTATAATAATAAACAGCTTTTCAAATAACCTGCATTCATTACATTACAATACTTACAGTATTTATAAACCATCCTTATTTTTATGAACAGACCAAACATTTCATGAAAATGAATAAAACTAAGTTTTAAAAAGCGTAGAAAAATGCACACAGAAGTTCATTACCTTAGTGTCAAACTGCAGAAGCTTCCTACACAAGTTAACCACTAGCTTGAGAAGTGAGCTGTACATCACTGTGCATCAATCAAGATGAAGTTTCCATTCAAGTAAAGTTGACACCACTTAGAAGCATTTTCAAGTATGGCTATATAGTCAACCTGATATTCCTATATAAGCAAATTGTACATCTGCTTCCCATTCATTGAGGCAGGTTTCATATTTACAATTAGATATTTGATATTGACAATTTGCAACTTCTTTCCTTCGCTTCCTATCTAACCTCTCCCCAGCTCCTCAAACTGCACTCCCTGTTCCTGTGGGCACGAAGTTTGACAAATGACAGTGGCAGATATAGAATCCAAATATTCATCAGGGGTGGTAAACTAAACACCCAGAAAATGGCCACGTTGTCATCCTTGGGTCCTGCATAACTGGTTCCAGCTCATGGTGACCTTGTGAACCTTGCCTAGCCCTGGGCCATCCTCACAGCTCAGCCCACGAAATGCACGAAATTTTTTTTTTTTTTGAGTTCATGAGCATGGTTTATACAAAACACTAAAATGACATGGTTTGGTGTATGCAAAGGAAATTCTTGTATTTAAAGTGGACACGACCATATTTTGTTTAAAAAGATAAAATTCATATTATAAAGACTGATCAAACTGAGAGATCTCCTTAAGACCTTACTTGAAATCTTAGTAGGCAAAACTGTGCTTTGAACACAATGTAATCATACAAAATATTGCACACCACACTTCTCAGTGCTTGGCCCCTTCAGGGAAGCCTCATGAATTCGGTGCCTGTGTTCCTTACAGGTCCAGAATGTCCTGTTGAGAGTTAACTCTTACCAACAGCCACTTGCCAAACTCCTGCCTTACAATTTTCCCTTATCAACTCAACACATTCTCTTTTCGTGTAACTGTTTTCCTGCTTAAACAGCCAAGAGAGTCCTCACACTTTTAAAATGCTTTTTAAAATGTTTACAATATAATGAACCAACAGATTTACAAAATCAGTTTTAGTTATACCAGTACATGTACAAGGAAAATTGGAGGGATTCAAGGGGCTAAATCCCCGGGGGTGGGGAGGGAAACCAACCTATTAATCTACCATTTTACATAAACACAGGTGACATGTTGGCATAAGGAGAACATGAGCTGAAATATCCCTGAATTTTTAGAACAAAAAAGGTTGAAGTTCAAGTTATACTTGCTAAGAAATCAAGTATTGAAAAAGGGTATGGTTATGTTTTTTAAACCATTAAAAAAAAAGACTTGGGGGAGGGGGGATGATGGTACACGATGTTAGAAGCTTTCACTCTCAGTTCAATATCCTATTGCCAAACTAGTGTTGAGGTATATGACAAGTAGGAACATCACTCAAACTTTTAATGAATTTTTAGCTCACATTATGATAAATTTGTAGCAGGCTGAGTAGCACCATCATGATGTGAATTCTGCTTCAAACCCATATATATATATATAGATATATATAATGTATATGTGTATATATATTTATATATATTTGATTTCTTACAATACTAAAATACTAAAGCATTGTGTTAAAAAGTTTTGTTTACAATTTAATTTACTATACAACTCTCTCATTTCTTTATACAAATTAATGATTTTAAAACCACCACAGCAAACCAGCTGCCCTTTTTATTTTTGTCTCTTTAATGAACAGATTCACACAGAACTAACCCTGTTTATTCATCTTATGCAGGCATCAGTCTGCTCAATCTTCCTGGTAATGAGGACACTTAAGAAATGACAACATCACAATGCACATAATTATCCACACAAAGGCCGACTGCCATTCCGTTGTTTGAAGAGCGTACAGATCCATGAAATAGCACAGACTTAAGTGAACTACCTTTGTTGAGTTGGTAGCGTGCCGCGATTTAATACCTGCAGTTAACAGAAAATTCTTAAAACTGTATACATTTGAGCAATGAACTTGTCATACAACTTTGTATAGAACAGTTTTACAGTAGAGCATGAGAGATGAGCACCAAAAAATGTGTTTTGTGGACAAATGTATTCCCATGAATCCAGTAAGCCCCATTTTGGATTAAACTGGCTGCATTAAAAATGGACACACTGCTCATGAGCAGAGGCGTGACAAAAAGCAAAAACATTTTCAAACACTTTCCTTATTTCTTTTAAATTAAAAAAAATAATCAACTTTTCATTTGATACTCAAAGCAAATTTTTAAAAAACGTCTTAGTACCTTAGCATTGTTCAAGTTGCCAAAGCTTAGGTAGACAAAGTGCTTCTAAGACACCATTTCAAATATTTATACATATACATGTAAGTATACATATATGTACATATATACGTTTATTGTCCTACAAGGACGTCACTGGATGAGCAAAATCCAGTGGCCTTTAAAATGTCCACATTTGGAAAACTAAACTTGTATAAGAATGGGGTCACTATGATAAAAACTTGAATGACCGGCACCCCTATTTTCAAGGGCACTGGAGTACACTGATAGCATCTTGATATAAAGGCATCAAATTTTTAACTATTAAAGACACCGTTTTCTTAGCACCATTTCTTAGAAGCATCCAAACAAATTCAGTGTTTTACAGTCTACTCATGTATGCTTCCGGTAGCTATCATGATAAATAAAAGTTAATATTAAGATTACAGTAAAAACTGCATGTTAAAAAACCAAAATTCCAGTATTTCAGTACATCGTATATTCAGCACCAGATGGTATGTTAAGATTCCTGCCACTGTAAGACTACAGTACTATGTTCCATGACTATGCAAACTCCTTATTAGTAAAAGTGGTCACAGATGCAGAGTTGTAAGAGGGGGGGAGTCACATTTACATACCATCTTATTCATAATAGAACCAGTGTCGAAAAATGCAAATTGAGACCCACTCTTCCTTACCTTCCTTTGCATAGAACGCTTTGGTCTTTTTCCTAGATGCCATCTGTGACCACTTAAGAGGAGTCAGTGGAAATTAAGTGCTCTGGTAAAATCATTTCTTTATGTGCAGGTGAGCCAAAGCTTTCCCCACCACGTCCGGTTCATCACAAATACTGTGCCCTGTGCCCACTGCCCACGCCACGAAGACTACATAACTGACAGGTTGGTTGTGGTCGTTTAAATGAGGTAACCAACAGAAAAGGTGATGTTATATGTATCTGTTGTAAGGCCCAGTGACCCGAGTGAAGGCATATGGGGATGTAGTTACCGAAGAGGGTGTGGTTATGGACATGGTCCGTTCAGTCAGCGACTTGATGAAGCGCAGGTAAGTGGGTTCTGCGGGTTCGTGCGGCTCGATCGGCTCCCGTTTCACCTTCTTGCCGTGGGCTTTCTGAGGCACGTAGTCCGGGCCGTACTTCTCACACTCTTCCTCTTTCTCCCGGGCTTTTTCGGCCATTTTGGCTTCCCAGAGGGCCAGGCCATGCTTGGGCTCATTCAAGCTTTTATGCTGATAAAATACAAGGGAGATCCTGGTGGGGTGATTCCTATTCGGATTTTTTAAGGGGGTTGTGGCGTGTAGCTCACGCTTTGCACACTCGATAAGAATTGACCCATGACACGGAGCCACAGCTACTCCCCCGATGTCGGGGTCCAGAAAGCTCTGCTCGCTGTCGGACCACACCTCGTCATTACCCTCGGCAGCAGAAGCCCCGCCCTGAGCCGGCCCTGCAGGCTGCTTCTCCTGACTGCCAGCATCGGTTACTTTGTGGAAGCCTTCGGGGGCAGCCGCAGTCCTCTCATGGATAAGCATTTTCAATAACCCATTGGCCGTGTGGGAGAGCATGTCGTTCTCCTTGTTTTGGAGATGCAGACCATGCCGAGAGCTGCTGAGCATGCCAGGAGCTGCGCTGTAGTTATGGATGAGAGGAGAAGGTGGAAAATGCTCGCCATTTTTACAGTCAATGTTTGGATTATTCAAATTGGCTGGTAATCTAGACGCAACTTCCATGAAGTGGCCATCCATCTCATGGGTGGAATAAGGAGGAAATGGCCCTGCATGGTGTACATTTGGTCGAATGGTACAGCTGCTGAAGGCATCCCCCTGTATGTTTTGGTTTCCATAACTCAAGTATTTGGAAGAAAAACTCTGGCTATTCCCAAACCGTTGCTGGTATAAGGTATGGATGGGTGGCAAGTTTAATTTAGAGATGGGGTCTTGACTTGAATACCTATAAAGATCCACAGGCTGAGACTGGGAAGAATAAGGACCCAAATATGGCGCACAGTTGTCCACTGATACATTTCCATTGCACTGATATGATGGATACTGGTTATTCTGATTCAAAAGCCCAGGATAGGTGTTCATAGGGTTAGAAGAATGGAAATATGATCCGACATTTGGGGATGAGGTGGAATAGAGGTTCATTGGGTTGGTACTCCCGTACATTTCTGAAGTGTGTGAAGAACTTGTATATGAGCTAACTGGATTGGGCCGTCTCATATAGAGATTGGTGGGTCCAGAAGAAGAGTAAGAATTGATAGAGTCTGACTGTGGGTTACTAGTCAAGGGGTGATGTGCCTGTGGCTGCTGCTGCTGCTGCTGCTGCTGCTGCTGCTGTCGTTGTTGGGGGGGAGGTGGCGGCGGCGGCTGCTGTTGCAGGGGCTGCTTCTGTGGTTGCTGGGGCTGCTGCATGACTGGTCCCGAAAGCCGCAAGAGTTCTGTGGACAGGGGTAAGAGAGGTCACGGGAAAAGATGGAGATGATTATTTTATGAATGGTGAGAACCATTCCCAGGAAGACTCGGCAACATTCATCAAACAAGGAAGGATAAGAGACAAGGCCGTGGTGTTCTACACGGTCTGGCAGAATTTTGTGTATCTGGAATAATATCCATAAAAACAGTACACCGTACCACATTCCAAGCCTGTGGTACAGGTAGGTATGGAACTGAGGGGATTGAAACAGATGAGCTGAAACAAAATGGTTACAAATTGTTGTTCGCAGAACACATGATCGGCTCTTTAAGCCCTCGTTTAATTGTTTTCTAAAAAAACTTTTTAAAAATTTATTTGAAAAAACCCCCACAAACCTTCAAACCATGCAGAAGCCATTCTAGAGAGAGCGTCATATTCTCCACAGCTTTTTTGTCCCTGAGCAGGCCGTAACCACCCCCAGTCAGAAACAGCATCTCCCTCTGAGACTGTGTCCCGACACTTCCTCCATTAGGCGTCCCTTCCTCTTGGAACCCTTTGATGGCCCCAACTGCTAGGTTCTTGCAAAAACCACTAAAAACATGGATTAAGTCAAGAATGGCCATTCTGTACTATCTCATAATTATCCGATTTTAGACCTCCTGCCCATACTGCATAGTTGAAGTACAGAGTTTATCAATTCAATTCATTTCTTCATGGCTTAGCATTGACTGCCGTTGCTGAATAACTAAAATAAAATAAACAAACATAAGATTTGTTATGGAAAACTCAGCAGTGCTCTAAGAGAGAGGTGCTTTCATTGACATGCTTTCTAGAGAGGAAATGCGCAAAGTTATTAATAGGATGCTGAACAAATTTTCAGATTTGTAAATGAAACCTTCAAATGTCATACTTCTATTTCATGACCCTGGTTTTTTTTTGTTTTTTTTTTTTTAATTATATGGGTTAGGAACAAGCCAGTGAAATTGAAATGTGACCCTGAGTATTTAAGTAAAAATTTATAGTCTCAGAAACCCAATGTAGGGTCGTTACTAGCCCGAATCGCCCATGAGTCAGAACTGACTTAACGGTAGTAGATTTGGGTATGAGTGTTTTCAGATTTTTTCCTGGTTTTTAGTTTGTTTAAAGGAAATAAATGGTGGTGAACAGGGTGAAGTCAGCCAGTTAACAAATGCTTGGTAAGCACCTTTAGCATATTGTGGGACTACATTAGATAGTCCACTTAAATCTCACTTCTCATTCTCTCCCTACTTCAATGTAACTCTTGTTTTTAAACTTTGGCAATAAATGAGATTTTAATTTTAAAACTCTGGAGCTATAGTTGAGATATCATTTTTTCTCTTTCATTGTCACGGCTAGTCACCAGATCCTACTGCTTTTCAGTTTTTTAGAAGATTCCGTACCTGCGTTTCCATTATGGCTTAATTGCTCCCGCCAAAATTCAATCTCTTATTATCTCTCTGAAGGAGCCCCGGGGGTCATGCATTAGGTTGCTCTGGCAATGCATATTTTGGTCTCTGGTTTGGTTCACTGAGTCTTGTCTACAAATAAATGAACTCCCCTACAGCTAATCTGGCCTACTGACTACTTCCATCATGAAAATACAACTTAACCATTTGTCATAAGGCAACATTCAAACGTATCCATCAAGCTGGAGTTAGTGGTGCAACATCTCATTCCTAACTCAGAGCCAAACCTGGCCCTTGTCAGTTCACACAAGACTCTGACACAACGTTTAATCACACAGCACACCTCTCTATAGGGTTTCTCTCACACTCAACTTACCTGCCAACTGTTTGGTTTGGCTTGCATTTTCGGTCTGTTTGGTACGTGAGGAAGCGGACTTTTCCTTCTCGGGCTTATGTGAGCTGTTCTCCTGAGAGGAGAGTCTCTCGGCCGCAGCTTTCTTGGCTTCTTGCTTCCGTTGCCGGCATGTCTTGACTGGCTCTGCTAACATCCTGACTTTACGCCGAAAAGAGCTCAGGACCTGAATGGCACCGGTCTGTTTCTTCTCCTCCTGAGCTTCTACGCTCCCGAACTCATCCACATCAGACACTTTGTACAAAGGCAGAACATGAAGCTGCTCGTCCCCAGGTTTTCCACCAACTCCTCGATTGTCTTCTCTGGTGAGGGTACACACCTGGTGTGGAGATAAAATAGCAGTGGGAGTGCACGGTTTCTCCTTCGTATTTAAATGTGTGGTAGTGGTCTAACCTAACTGGTACAGATTAGTGGCACGTGCTTAACCATAAGATCATGCATACAGAAACAAAGAATATGTCACAATGGTAAAGGAGTGAACGACTAGTCACATGATGAATTTAGTTTACCTGTGCGAATCAGCCCTTCACATTAGTTTTTGACTAAGGGGGAAAGCAATACTGCTAACAAAATGAAATAAAGCTCCCCAATTTTCACATTTCCACAATAGGATATGATATAAACAGAGTCTGAAAGTTTAATGGGCTTCTCTGTTCTTGCCTAATCTCATGCTCTCAAACACCAATAGGTGCCAAACCTTTCTTCATGGCTTGATTTTTACTACAGGATGAAAATCCAAATAATGAGAAGGTGGTGATATGATAGATGTCACTTATAGGTAACTTAACAGCGTTTCTACCTTGCCTTTTCTTCTTCTCTATTCGTGACACTCAACTATCTTCTTCTTCCTGTCACCACCACCCCCCACGCCAATAGCACTACACACATAAAAGACAAAACCCAAAATTCTCTGCTAATTTAATATACATTGTTTCTTTTGCTAGCAACAACTATATATATTTTGGTACACGATTACTTGTTAGAGTTTAACTAATACTTGATTTTGGTGAATGGGGAGAGTGCCATCTTGCTTAAGCTGCAACACAAAGTAATAAATCATCAAAAGATACATTTGAAAGAAATTTGATCATAATTATGACACAGAGGCCCTGGTGGTATAACAGTTACGTGTTAGGCTGTTACTTGCAAGGCCAGAAGTTCAAAACCACTAGCTGCTCCATGGGAGAAAGAAGGGACTTTGTAGTCCTGTATAGAGCTATACTCCCAGAAACTCACAGGGGCAGTTCTACCCTGTCCTACAGGGTCAAGCACAAGTTGGCATCAACCTACCTAATGGCAGTGAGTTTAGGTTTCTGGTTTTAGCTTCTACACATACCACAAAGACAGGGTTCCACATAAGAGTGATTAGAATCTTAAAACTTTGTGAGCAGCCATCTAAAGTACAAAGTACAAAGCCAACAAACAACTTCAAATATGCAAAGAAAACAATTAATCCAAAGGACTTATAGACCATGTAAATCCTAGTCTCCATTAATGAGCCCAGAAAATAATTTGACCCGTGAGATTAGTTCCATGATATCTGGCGTGAAATGTTGACATAATATATTCCTTTTTTTTTTTTTTTAAACATTTTATTAGGGGCTCATACAACTGTTATCCCAATCCATACACACATCAATTGTGTAAAGCGTATTTGTACATCATTTCTCAAAACATTTTCTCTCCATTTAAACCCCCGACATTAGGTCCTCATTTTTCCCCTCCCTCCCCGCTCCCCCCTCCCACATGAGCCCTTGATAGTTTATAAATGGGTATTTTGTCATATCTTGCCCTGTCCGACTTCTCCCTTCATCCACTTTTCGGTTGTCTGTCCCCCAGAATATATTGCTTTCTTCAGGCACTATTAAACCCCAACTCTAATTTCTGTCATTTCCTAGCAAACGACACTGTCTCCTAATAATGAGCAGGTGCTCGATTGACGACCAGTCATGACCTCAGGTGTCAGGGTGGGAAGTAGGACTTGTGCTTGCTTCCATAGATGAGAGGCTGGCAAACTATGCCCCGTGGCCAATTAGCCTCACAGCTGGTTTGTTTGTTTTTAATGGCCAGCAAACTGAAGAGTGGAATTTACATTTTTAAGATCATTACACAAAAACCAAAACTAAAACAAACAAGAAAATAGCAACAGAGACCCTGTGTGGCCTGCAAAGCCTAAAATATTGATATCTGGTTCTGTGTAGAACAGGTTCTATGTTTTCTAGCTCTTCCATGTAACCATATATCTTCTTTGTTTCTCAATTAAAAGAAAGAAAAAAACCCTTTCCACTAACTTCTTCAAAGTACCTCAGGCTTGCCTACCACCACCCTGAAATTCCTTCTACCCAGTAGATGGATTTAATGTTAAGCTTCTATTTTTCATTTTATGCCACATGGGTCATCTTCTTTAACCACACCAACATCTACAATGATTACCCATTTGACTAATTTACACTTTCTTGAATTTCTTAAATCTTTCATTCTTTACTCTGCATCAGCCTTCTCTATGAAAGCACACACCCTGGACCTCGTCACCATAAAACATTGCTCGTCCCTAAGATAAGGTGACCAGACTGGCTGGACAGTCCCGATTTTTAACAATGTTTCCTGCGTCCCACGGCGTTTTAAAAAAGTCCCAATTTTTTGGAAAGAATGCACGGCAAGCTAGGGTATACAGTTTTCGGCTGCCATGTGGCTTTTTCGCCAGGATATGAGTTTTATCAATGGTGTCCTGCTGGTGTCCCATTTTACCAATGATAAAATCTGGCCACCTTAGCCTATGACCTCATTCCCCTCCCCCATTCTCCAAAGGCTCCCATTAGCACAGGCCAAGTCATTTAAAGCCACTGGAAGATGTACTGTTGTTATGTGCACTCTGAGCCACTATTACCCTTGCACTTCTCATTGGTAGTCTTTCTGCAAAGTGGACAGTTCTTTTGGTTTGTGTAAGCTGCTTAAATCACTACGGAACACTGTCCAGGTAAAGTAATGAAAGATCTGCACCCGGCGTTGAAAGGCAACTCAAAATATGGCGGCCATAACCGACTCAGCCACACCAGTGCTTTTCAAGACGGTACTGGGTTGGGTAACATTTCATTCTGCTGCACACAACTCATCAGAAGTCACAGCTGACTCATTGGCAACTAACAACAGCAGAGGCGGCAATGCATAGCCAGCGGCTTACATGAGTACAAAGATTTTCAACAATTTTTATGTTTGTCAACAGTCCTCCTGCAAAGGAATACAGTACTACCTATACCAAACAAAGCCAACAAACAACTTCAGTTCATTCACCAAATCATTTGTGTGTGGTGACACTTGCAGAGAATACCTTACTTTATTTAATCCAATGTACTAACTTCCAACCTTATTCTTCAATTGGTGTTGCTACCCTGTCCTCAGCCCCACTTACCAATGTGCTGCCATTCTGCATGTTGTGCAAGTCTCTATGGGCATGAGCACAGAAGTCCAGACAGCAAGTGAGCCCTGAAAATGGCCGGCCTTCCATCAATCCCAGACGGCAGTCCAATGCTCTCTCTTCATATTCAATCTGAAAAATAAAAATAAATACATGTGTGTAAAGGGGGAAGTCGGTTATTTAAAACTTTAAAATGTGTTTTACATCCAGATATGCAACAGAATGGCACAATATAGATCAAACACCTTGACAAAAAGGGTCCAATACTTTGCAAAGTTTTTATCTTATATTATTGAGGTATAATTGATA